ACCAGGTGGAGGCACCCCCTGCACACAGCACCCAGAAAGCATCAGTGCAGCTGAGGCTGGAGCCAGGCCGGCAAGCCCAGCCACCCTGCACGGCACCCATCCCCCCACCAGGCTTTCATCGAGTTCATTCTGTGAGCTGAGAGCCCAGCCCTGGACCAGGCAGTAGGCACAGGACACAGTTGAGCACATGGTCACTGATGATAGCCACGCCCCCCAGGGGGATGAAGAGGCCAGCAAAAGGGGTCCAGGTCCAGCCTGGGAGGTCAGGGAGGCTTCCTGAAGGGGCAGCATCATGGGACAAGTCTTGAGGGAAGAGAGCCCTAGGAAAGATGGGGCAGAGCGCGTCCAGGCCTGTGGACAGCACATGCCCAGGCCCAGGGTCCACAGCGGGTAGAGAAGGGGCCTCAGCCTGGAAGGGAGGGCTGACTGCAAGAGACAGGTGGAGCTGTGCAGACCAGGGAGGCGGGGCAGAACCCAGCCACGTGCCCGGAAGAGCCGGCTGCAGCCGCAACCCAGAAATACATCTCCTCAGCCTAGAAGGGTAGGCAAGTTCACATGTGCTACATATGTGTGCACATCCATATATGCAAACCCACGTGTGCATGGGACAGATGTGTTCAGCACAGGCATACACACGTGTGCAGTGCATGTGTGTATCCAAACAAGTGAGGGTGTGCATGCAGGCAGTAGCACAGGTGTGTGCACAGCATGTGGACATGACATTCGTCTACATGTGCCAGTGTGGTACACATCCACGTGTATAGATACGTGCGTAAAAACCATGTATGTTAGTGCATATGTGTGTGTGCACCTGCATGTGAACAGTACATGGACATGTGTGTGCACACATAGGCATGCATGTGTGTGAACATGTATGGATGCACGTATAACACATGGTGTGTGGAGACTGTGGGTGTGTGCATGCCTTTGGGTGTGAAGGCATGCGTGTGTGCATGAATAGCTTTGCATGCTTGCATGAATGTGCAGATATGTGTATGCATGGGTGTTCATGCTTGCATGCACATAGATGTGTGCATACACACACATGCATGCCTTGATATGTGTATTCATGTGTGTGCATTATCTGCGAGCACGCGGATGTGTGGACACACGTGTGTGTGTGTGGACGTTATACATGTGTGTATGTGCATGCCTGCCTGTATGTGCAGGAGGCCTCAAGGAGCCAAGCTCCCCTCCACCGGAGCTGAGGCTGCTCAGGAAGCCCAGAGCGCGGCATCCCAGGCGAGGCAGGCACCCAGCAGGTGCGTGCCCACATCCCTTCTTAGGACCCGCCCACAGCCTGCCTAGCCCCTAGCTCCCTTTGGCACAGCAGCCAGGGCCCAAGGTCCCATGGCTATATGGCCCTGGCTGGACCAACCCTGTTCTCCTGGGCCCCATGCATCACAGGTGAGATACAGGCAGGTTCACCTCTGTAGTTCCAGGACACGCCACTTGTAGATTCTCAGTTCTAGGAAACTCTTCCAGGTTCTGAAATGTGCCCGCTCCCCCAGTGTAGCCCCACACACATGTGCACTCAGACAGCCCCGCAGCCCCCGCCACTGCAGCCCGACTCCCAGCAGCACCCTCCTTCATCACCCTCCTGGTGGCGCCCAGCCCTATCATGCCTCTTCAGGACAGGAAGTCTTGCTGGGCGTGTGCTGTTCTGCTTGTCATGGACAATCTGGAGCAGTTCCTCAAGCCTGATTTCAATGTCTGGGGTAAGGGGACTCTCCAGCTCCCTTGCAAACAGCTGCAGGCCCCAGGGCCTCCCACCACTGGCAGGCCTGCGGGCAATGCAACCCCTCTGTGTGGCCCAGGGCTTCGCTTCCCCTAAGTTCTGGGCCCAGCTCTTTGCCTCTGGGCTCCATCCAGGCCCTGGAGTGGACCCTTCTGCCCCTCCCTGATCATGCCAGGAGATGCTGCCAGCAGCATGTCAGCATGCCGGCTGCCGTCCCCAAGGGCCCGGGGCCTCTCACTGGCCAGGCACTCCAGATGCCCTCCGCCTGGTCTGAGTGGTCCGGGCCTTCAGCCCTCCTGAGCAGTGGGGGCGTGCAATCTGGCTCAGGGCTCCAGGTGCTCTGTGCTCTCTTCCCTCCAAATTCCTGTGCCTGGGCTGCCATCTTTTGGGAACACAGGAGCCAGGATCCTGGATAGATGCCCCCACCCCTGTGCATCCCTGAAAGCACTTCTCACAAAGTGAGAGACCCTCGTGCTGTGATGCCCCATGCATCACAAGTGAGATACAGGCAGGTTCACCTCTGTAGTTCCTCTCTGTAGTTCACTCTCTGTAGTTCACCTCTGTAGCTGGGGGTGAGGGGCACGTAGATGCCGAGGGAGAGGGGCTTCTCCAAAGCCTGCATCCCGCCCCTGCCACTGCTCTTTCCTGAGTCTTCCTGTCTCCCCATGCCCCAAGTACAAAGCCCACCCCCACCGGAGGAAACGCAGCCTACAGGGGCCCACCCCTTCCTCCTACCACCCCCTCATCCTCTAAGCACAGCTTGGTCACCTCCTCCAGGAAGCCTTCCTTGACAACTTGGCTCTCAGGCTGGGGAAGGAGCCCCAGGGCATTGATGGTTGCCAGTGCATTCATCTCCGTGGGTGGCACTGTCCACCCCAGATGGTGTACACCTCCACTGAGGCCAGGCCCCCCTCACTCTGCCACTGCATAGGGCTCAACAGAGACAAGGATTCCAGCATGCCAACCACGGAGGAAGCAGGTCTGTGTGAGCTTCCCTGAAAAATGCACCTTCAGGTGCCCTAGACAGGTGGCACCTCTTAGGCCTCCAGGACCAGGAGGGCCTTTAGCAAGGATGGTGACTCTCCACCATCCCCGGCCACACACCTCCCACATGACAGCCATGGCCCTTTGCTTCCCCGAAGGGCATACGTGCCCAAGGCTAGCACAGGACTGGTGCCGAAGGCTTTGGCTCCAAAGTGCGCCCCTGCTGGGCAGGCCCATCATCTGAAATGTTTGCCTTCGGCCTGACCCCGGCTCGACCTCCACACCCCCAGGGCACGCCCTGCTGATGACAACACGGAGGAGGCCGTGGCTCCTGGTGGCGTCTCTTCGGAGACAGACAAGATTCCCTGGTAAAGCTGCGCAGCTGAGAACACGACAGGCCCCAAGCACGGGCACGGATAGGCATCCCGAGGGCGGGGTCAGTCACTCCAGCCCCTCCTCATGCTGCCCTCCTAGGCACCCAGAAGCCGCCCCTTCCCTGCCATCTCTAGTCACAGGGTGGACAGCCTCCCTCCCTCTCTCCTGCGCGCCCATGCAGGGAGGGCCCAGCTAGCTGGGGTGCGTTTCTGGACGGCTGGGGGAAGGGTCACCGCTTCGGTCCTTGCAGAGAAACGTCAGGCCTGAGAATTCCAGCTCTCCTCCTGGACCACCTCCTCCCTGGAGGTCCCTCTCCCACAGACCCCAGGCTGCCTAGAGGCAGAAGCCAGCACCCAACATGGTCCACAGAGTGACAGTGCACATCTGCAGAACGGAGGTGCAGGGACAGAGGCGAGGGTACACAGGGGCTACCTCAACAGCCGCTCTCCCCCGAGCCCACCCTTGCAAAAAGCTCATCATCCAGGCAGCTCGGGTCTGGGTGTGTGTCAGAGGTGGCGACCTCCGACATCTCTCCATCCTTTACAAGCAGGGCCTGGAGCATCAGGATGAAACTTCAATCGCTGCTAACATGAGTGCAGAGCTGGGAGCTTGCCCAGGGCTTCCACAGGCACCGCCGCTAGTTATGATTCATGCTCCAGCAGCGCTGGAGGGGGCCGAGGGAACTGAGGCCGGGGTGGGTGCGGAGGTGGCTCTGCCGGGGAGCGCCGATCCGGGATCTGGTCCGGACCCTGAGCTCGGCAGGACCTGTGCGCACCCAGGCAGCGTCGCGCCCTCCCGCAGGCTGCGAGAGGCTGCTCTGCCATCAGGCCATGGACCCCGAGCCGCCCGTGCTGCGCGCGCGCGTGTGCGCGCCCCCGCCTGCGCCCAAGCCTGCACCGGGGGAGGCGAAGGAGGCTTCCGTCTTAGAAAGAGCAGCTTCTGGAACTCACCGCCCAGGCCAGCCGCCGCTCGGCCCCGTCCCGCAGGCTGCAGGCGGCCCTGGAGGGGGCGCCCTCGCCGAGCGCGCGCCCCGCGCCGCCGCCTCGGACTCCTCCCCGGCGCCGCGCGGGCAGGTTCGCCCAGGCGGCCGCGGGCTCCGGCTCCCGGCCGGCTCCCCAGGGCCCGCGGCCCGCCCCGCCCCGCGCACCCGCCCCGCTGCGCAACTCGACCCAAGTTGGAAGCCGAGCCAGGGCGGCCGCACTCGCGCCCAGCGCAGGGCGGCGGCGGCGCAGCTCGGGCGAGCGAGGCGGCGGCCGCACGGCCGAGCGTGGACCGCGGGGGGCGCCCGCGCCGAGTAGCAGCGGGAGGACTCGCGGCGGCGCCGGCGCCCCGCCCGGGAAAGTAAAGTTGGAGCCGGAGGGAGCGCGCGGGCGCGGGGGCCCGGGGGAGCGGCGGCCCGCGCCCCGGTGCGCCAAGCCCTAGCCGGCCGGATGGGAGGCGGAGCGCCCGGGCCGCCGCCGCCGCCTGTCGCCTGCGCCCCGGTTGGGCTCCGGGGCCGTGGGGCCGCTCGGGCACGGCCGCTGGGGCGCCGCGTCGCCGTGGGCTCGCCGCCGGGGCGCTCCCCGTGAGCCGGGCCGAGGGCGGGGCCGCGCGAGGACCCCGGGACCTGCCCCCCTCCCCCCGCCGCCGCCGCCGCCGCCGCCGCCGCGTCGCCGCTCGCTCCGGGCGCCTCCCGCTCTGCACTTACGCGCTCGGCAGCTGCGGGGAGCCCGGCAGCCACGCTCTCCGGCGCGCCGCCCGCCGAACCACCACGGCCGAGGGCCGGCTGCGGAGCGCCGCGGTCCCCGGCAGGCGCGCCCGAGCAGCAGGCGGCGATGCCGGCGCCGACCCAGGCTGGGGGGCGCCCGAGCTGGCGCGGCTGCGCCCGGGCTCCAGGAGGGACCGCGTAGCTCGCGGGAGGACCATGGCGTCCCCGGCGCTGGCGGCGGCGCTGGCGGTGGCGGCGGCGGCGGGCCCCAACGCTAGCGGCGCGGGCGCCAACGCCTCGGGGGCTGCCTGGGGGCCGCCGCGCGGCCAGTACTCGGCGGGCGCGGTGGCGGGGCTGGCGGCCGTGGTGGGCTTCCTCATCGTCTTCACTGTGGTCGGCAACGTGCTGGTGGTGATCGCCGTGCTGACCAGCCGGGCGCTGCGCGCGCCACAGAACCTGTTCCTGGTGTCGCTGGCCTCGGCCGACATCCTGGTGGCCACGCTGGTCATGCCCTTCTCGCTGGCCAACGAGCTCATGGCCTACTGGTACTTCGGGCAGGTGTGGTGCGGCGTGTACCTGGCGCTCGACGTGCTGTTCTGCACCTCGTCGATCGTGCACCTGTGCGCCATCAGCCTGGACCGCTACTGGTCGGTGACGCAGGCCGTCGAGTACAACCTGAAGCGCACGCCGCGCCGCGTCAAGGCCACCATCGTGGCCGTGTGGCTCATCTCGGCCGTCATCTCCTTCCCGCCGCTGGTCTCGCTCTACCGCCAGCCCGAGGGCGCCGCCTACCCGCAGTGCGGCCTCAACGACGAGACCTGGTACATCCTGTCCTCCTGCATCGGCTCCTTCTTCGCGCCCTGCCTCATCATGGGCCTGGTCTACGCGCGCATCTACCGCGTGGCCAAGCTGCGCACGCGCACGCTCAGCGAGAAGCGCGCGCCCGCGGGCCCCGACGGGGCGTCCCCGACCACGGAGAACGGGCTGGGCGCGGCGGCGGCGGCGGCGGCGGGCGCGGGCGAGAACGGGCACTGCGCGCCCCCGCGCGCCGACGTGGAGCCGGACGAGAGCAGCGCGGCGGCCGAGAGGCGGCGGCGCCGGGGCGCGCTGCGGC